TGCGTGCGTATGTGTGCATGGATTCATGGATTCATGTAGACATGTATGCAAGTACACATTTATGCATGTATGCATGTGTGTATGTACTGGTAGATGGTAAATAGTATACTATATAACTGGTAACTGGTAAATGGTAAATGGAAAGTGGCAACTGGTAATTGGTAAATGGAACATGAAAAATTGTAAAATGTTAAATGTGAATGCAATGCAATGTACATATGTATATGTAATGTATGTAATGTATGTAAGGTATGTCATGTATGTCATGCATGTCACATATGTCATGTATGTAAATGAAATGTGTATAAATATATAAATAATATATATATTTATATATACACTAAGTGTGTATATATATAGTGTATACACATCACTGGTTGGTGGTGCAATAACCATCTTGAAAAATATGAAAGTCAGTGGGAAGGATGACATCCCATATATTATGGAAAATAAAAAATGTTTGAAACCACCAACCAGATCATGGCACACTTCAGTTTTGATCATGGCACCCATCCATTTCCTGCCCCTGCCTCTGTTCCACGTTCTTCCACGATGTCGCCAAAGTGGCTGGCAGATTTCAGCTCATCGAAGAGATCCTGGAGAAAATATGGCTGTGAAATGGGAAGATGATCATAAACCATTGGATGTTGAGTCATTGACATTGAGTAATTCATCCATAAGACATGGGACACATATACAAAATACATGCATATGACTGCATCATATGCGAATGGATATCAAATATTTATATGGACATCAACCAACAAAAAAAACAACAACACATTTCAACGAACAACGGTGGTGATTTCAACCAACAGCATGGGAGCTGACCAGCACACCATCCAATTGTTGACGCTGGGTCGTCCGCCTCGTTGAGACCGCCCATGCAATTCATGACCAAGGCGGATGAAAGCCTAGGCAATGCTGAAAAATGGGAGAAACAATAAAGAACATCCATGAACATCCCTACCAAAAAAAAACAAAACAAAACATGCCACCAATGTGATTCCTCAAGCTATGGCTATAGAACGCTATAGATATATAATGATACACAGCGCATGGTTCTTTCAAAATTGTCTCTTTTAGTGGTGAAATACTTGAGGTATTCATGGGAGCATCAAAGGTGGACATGAGTCGACAGGTCCATCAAAACTCTCACATGTTGTATTCCACACATCATCTCGTTTTGGGGATTCCGTTCTGCCATCAACAGCAGGTCAGGTTATCAACGTCAACGTGTGCTGTTTTCTTCAGAAACGTCCCGAAAACAACGGCAGAGGCTAAAGAATGGAGATCCCATCGTTTCATCAAACTTTTGATCATTCCCCCAACATAGACTCTGAAAACAGCCAGCCTCACGAGGAAAGTAGCCTTCCAACCCCCAACCCATGGCAGGTGGCTTTGTCTGGAAATAGACTACTCCCACAATCCCAAAGTCAACAGGGGTTGGTAACTGTCCCATTTTGGGAATATTGAAACATCACCTTATAGTAGCCATTATAGACCATATACCTAATGGTTGGGTGATGTTCAATGGGGACACTTAATGACCCATGGTCAAACACACCCATGGCACTTGGAGCGTTTTTAGAGCAGTTCCAATCCAAGGTGCAACCAACACAGGGCCAAAATCTGCATATCTCTCGAGGCCCCATGACCCTCATCCATGGTGGAGCCGGGCCCTCCAAACCCCTGGCGTCTTCGGCGGCTTCAGCGTGGCGTAAGGCCAAACCGGGGAGCTGGGGAGAATGCCGGAGTTGTGGATATTGTTGTTGGTTCACCAACCCAAATCGTGATTTACCAACGCAAATCAGGAGATGACCTCGGAAAATGGCTGAACTCCTGTCCTATCCACAGCAGGTGCCCAAAACCAGACCATCGAATGTTCCACAAAGCGACCTCGTCGAACATCGTATTCCCACTGATTTTCCACTACATCTCCACAGTTCTTAGGGTCCTTCCCGCAATTTTCTTTCGGCCCAACCCCCCAAACACAATGGTACTTTCAGAAATCTCCAACCTCGCAGTCCAAGATAAGGATCAACGGGCTCCTTCTGGACATGACCCAGAAGGGTCGATACTCCGATAAGCAACAAAAAAAGTATAGAACCGTGATATAATGATTGGATGACGATTGTGTACTTGTTGATAATCAATCTGGTCCTCTGGTCCGCCTATCAATGGACACCGGACACCCCCAAATAACCTGGTTGTGTGGTAGCTCTATTCATTTTGCCGTCCCAATCTAGCAGTGGGATTTCTCAAGGGGTGGGTTGAATAGGAGCCATTGTGAACCAACCCTATGACCAGTTTTGCCTCAAGCAAATCCAAAGAACCCGGGCAGGTCATATATTTTGGTCAAAGGAATCATCTTTTCAAACATCTCTTACCTCTCAGTGTGCACCCTGGCACCCCTTCTGCCTCTCGTCTTTGTCCACACCACCAGCCCACAGCCATACACCTGCGAGCTTCGGTTGGCTGTCCCTTACGCTCTGAATGGGTCTTCTCCCAGCTCCTTGATGTTGAGGTCTTTTCCCAACATGCTGTCTGAAGAGAGTGGACCCATTGACCCATCAACGCCCCAAAATCCCATGGTTGATCAACAAGCTTCCTATTGAATTGAGATGACAAATTTATGGTAAACCCAATTTGAGAAAAACCTGTATATGCATATATATATATCAGAGTGATTCATAGTGTTGGTTACATATCCCCTGTTATCTGATATTATCCCCATCAAAAGTCATCAAATCAATACCGTGCCCCCATATTTGTTGGTTGACTCCGCAATTTTCGGACCAACCGCACCTTCTGTTCGGGCTTTGGACCACAAGCCACCTACTTGCAAGACCTGGTCGGAAATGGGTGATGGCGGACCCGGTGGGCCCCAACTGATGGCCATTACAATGTGGTGCAAATGATGATCTTTCTATGTGATCAAAAAGAAAAGATAAACCATTGGATTGTGGTTGTACCTTATTTCTTGGGCTAAACTAGTTTTGAGCCCATAGCCAAGCCACACAATTAATGGATCAGTTGGGCACATGCGCCTGCTGCCCTTGTTGCGGTCTGTCCAAGAGGTGATTGGCCCTGAGAAGGACTTCGATACAATGGAATCAACGGGGTAGAACTGACACATGCGGGAGGAACAACCATCATGAACTATCATATATATATAATATAATATATATATAATAATAATTATTATTATTATTATTGTTTTTACTATTATTACAATTATGAATTGATTATATGGTGTGGAGACAGCCAGTTGACCGCACCAATATTGATATGTCGATATCTATCCATGTAATTAATTATTCAGCCAGGCGCTGTGTGTTACCCGGAAGGTTCAAATGAAGTTTAAACATTTTAAACATTATCCTTCAACATGCTCAAACATCTGCGCAGGGCCAGTGTTTTGAGATTTCCCAGACGACGAACCCTAAACCCTAAAACCCTAAACCATCCTAAACCGTAAAACCCCAAACCCTGAAACCCCAAACCCTAAAACCCTAAACCCTAAAACCTAGGCTCTGAAAACTTTGAATCCTAAACTGGAAACACTGCGTATACGCTGTATTTTCTGCAAGCTCTCCTATCATAATGTTAATGTCTGGGCAACACACAGCGTCTGTGGGCAATTATTCTTTACAGTCCTGCTGTTGCTACATGGCAAAATCCGGCTCCCAAAGGCTGGGGATCGTTGGGTTATCCTAGCTGCATCTTGGTGAATGACATCCGAAAGCCGTGGCCCCGTGGCCCATCAAGATCCTCAGGCTCGCACAAGTACGTCTTGCCACTTTGGCTAGTTCCACAGAGAGAAATGGCCTGAGACCCCGGCCGGATCCGACGTCTAAGGCTCAAATTTCAGGGAAGATCGTCCAAACTATGGCCACAAATGGCACAGCTAGCCAAAAAAAGAAATGGTGTGGCTAAGCTCTTCCTTCGAATATCAAATCTTCCCCCGAAACAACCCTTGTGGGATGTGTTGAATCTGTTCGGTTCAGGGGCCCCCGGTTCAGGGGAAGATTCCCAAGTCCTTCACCCTGCGCTAAGCCCTAAACCACCACAGAACGCCTCGGGCCAATCATTTGGATCGACATCGAAGAGGAGATCAGTGGAATTGTCACAATCTATACACACCAACATAATCATGAAAAACAATTGATAATAATGATAATAATAATATAATTATTATTAAATAATTGACAATACAAAAAAATGATAATCACAATCATAACAGTAGCAATAACAGTAACAATAACAGTAATATCTTACACTGCATATAGGATAATTATCTAAAAATTGAAGTCGGGGAATGTTCTATCTACTCGAGGAGACTTATGCACATCTTACGCGTATCGAATATGAAAATTACGTGTATTCAAAGTCATTCCGTTTGGGAACCATGTCCACAGCTGACAGTAGAGAGTCTTGTCGCAGAAGTTCTGATACGGCAGTGAGGTTTCCATGGTTTTGTTTCCCTTGGCCTAGCAGCCTGGCAGGTGGGTTTGTCTCAAGCCATGGTGCATCACAAGTTTTCAGCATGTTCCCTTTGTTTATGTCTAATTATATAGATATATATGTATATATATATATAGATATATCATGATCTGTAACCACCGTCAAAAAAAACTCTGGGATTTCGGGTGCCAGATTTTGAGACCCTGCTGAGACAGCCGGGCTGGCCCATGCTTTCCAGGGTCTTCACTGCATCCTTGCACAGCTCGAGCTTGTACCTCTATACATAGCCATGGGGCCATTGGAATCTTTCAGAGGAAGGTGATCAGCAAAAAGGGGATTTGAACCAGCCAAAAAAAGATATTTTAGCTATAGAATTTGAACCATTCTCAATTTGATTCCAAGAGACCTTCAAACGCAATGCACCTTTCGCACACTTGAACATGAACAATATTAAAAATACATAAAATTCAAAACAAAACCTTCCAAATCAATTCAAATCCTGAGAAACATGAAGTTCCACCCGTGGAGCTCCCTTTTTCCGCCGCATCGGCGAGCTCCGCATCCAGCCACTGCATCGTCCCGCTCCGCGTCCGTCACGTGAAGGCGACTTTGGGAGATATCGAGGTTCCAGGAGGTCGTTGTACCTGGCAGTCTTTCGCATGGCCAGTATGGCATATCATGGCATATCATGGCTCCGAGATTTTGTTCCATTATGATGGTTAGTTTACTAATGTTTATACTAATGTTTATACCATCCATTGATGGGGAGTGTTTTTTTCGTATTGCCCGGTGCCCCCATATCATGGCATATCATGGCATATTGGGATGATGAAAGTCATGAGGATTCCCAGGATTCATGAAGTCAGTTAGCATCCCCGCCTCTGGCGCGAAGGATGTGGCACAGACAGGGCATGTACCTTCGCTCCAGCAATGCAGCAGGCATTCCACGTGGAACACCTAGGTCGTTGGGAACACCGAAGCTTTCCAACATGAGAGTTGTCCTTCGAAATTATCAAGATGATTGAAAATAAAGGTGCATGAGATTACATTACATTAATTGAATTGTATATATGTATATTATACATGTGTATATATATATATATATAATTATATGTATTATATATATATATTCAATGGATATGTCACATATTGTTACATCATAGTGGACAACCACCTGAGTAAACCTCCAGCTCCCACCAACGCCCCCGAAGGTACCCCGCAACGGTTTGGCGGTTTAAGAAGCCCCGTTGCGACCGTGCTTCAAGCCACCCCTTCAATCAACTCTATAAGCCCTAATCATTTGGATAAACAACCTTCAACTGATGTAATTATACCAACCATGATTAGCTTCCCCAGTCATGTATGTTTGGATATATATATACATATATGGATTGGATTGAATTAGATTCGCTTTAGATAGATTTCGATTTAGATTCAGATTATTTTAGATTTAGATGAGATTAGATAGATAGATACGTAGGAAGATAGATAGATATGACTGAGATTCTGATCGGTTATATCCCCGAATGTTTGTTTATTGCATGCACATCATTACACGTTTTGGGTGTTTTTTTGTAATAGCACCACATCGAACTGCCACGCCCGGCAAAGGGGGATCACCGTGGCCACTATGCTGGTAAAAAATCCCCATATTAATATTTGTGTTAGCTAGGTTTTTTTTGTTTTAACTAACCCAGTAAGATCAGTAAGTAACTGAAAAACTGGATAACTATGTATATATATAATATGTATATCGATATGACTTAGAGATAGAACTATCATTGTGTATTATAGTCATATAACTATAAGTTCTAACACTATCATCCTGTTTTTTAATAAATAACATATCATAAAATCATCAACCGTCAGGCGCCAAGGGAACGTGATTGCACTTTCGCGGTTTCGCCCGATACGAAGCTTCGATGACTTGGCAGCAGCTCATGCATTCCTGGCGGCAGCGCTATGGAAAATCACCATTTCTAATGGATGAATCAACTATTTCTATGGCCATTTTCAATAGCTATGTAGCAAATTACCAGAGGCTATCTATTGGGATTGATTTGGGCTGATATATATATATATAATATATATAATATATACATATTTATACGGCAAATGCCTGGGTTTTGCCCGGACCCGCAATGACGACAGGCGAAGCATCATCATCATCATCATCATCAGAATTAAACCCTTATTGAAGATCTTCAATGAATGTAGAAGTTTAACGGGGTGGTGAGAATTGAACCCTTATTGAAGATCTTCAATGAATGTAAAGTTTAACGGGGCTGGGATTTTTATATTCCCTAGTACCTTTGTTGTTTTTCCCATAGGAATTTTGTGAAGTTGCATCAGCATTTGTTTGGGAATGGGAAACCTTTATGGTGGAATTAATTCTAGGGATTGAACATGATTGAACCTTGGAAACAGCAAAAAAACACCTTGAGAAACAGCAACGATATGTAACCAATCAACTGATTGTGATGATTTATCTGGAGTAAAGAATATAACCAAAAGCATGGAGTTATAGACAATCAGTGACAAAAAAGAGTATGCTCAAAACAATAACCATGCATCATATTGACTCATGAGAATCTCAATGCCAATGCGAATCTCGATGAGAATATCAATGAGAGTCTCAATGAGAATCTCAATGAACATGATGTTCAAAGACCAATGATGGAAGAGTTGTTCACACTTCTATTACTGAATAGCATTTTTTGGGAAACCCGTTGAAGTATCATAACTATCAAATATGATGCCTGGATGAGAATGATACCCCCTCAAAGTCACCGACGCCCCATATGCCCCGACCAGTCAAATAGTGCCGAGTTTCTTGCGCTTGATGGTCCAGGAATACCTCCACATCTCCATACTCCTCGTGTTCTTTTCGGTCAAATCTGGTGTCAAATGATCTTAACCACCATATTTGTCACCACCTGTGGTTAAGATCATCAGATGACAGATGATCTTAACCACTTCCTGTCAGATGATCTTTTTTCATTCAGAAAGTGTCTCAACCTTGTGTTTTTCTGAATCAGGAACCCCAGGAATCCACCATCTCGATGCCTTTTTCTGTGTCAATGCTGGTGAACTCTGACACAAATACAGGGCATTAATGTTCTTGCCCCAAAATATATGGCATGTATATGCTTGGAATTGTTTGGACCCATAGCCATATGTGCCATGGTCCAAATATGGTCCAAATATGGTATATGTGATATGGTCATCCACCCATAATGGGGATCCGAACATAATTAATCGTGGTTATATGCATATCTACATTCTTAGTGGATACAGGTATATCACCCAAGGCATTCTTAGTGGATAAAGGTATATCACCCAAGGTTTGATCACAGTCGTATGTATATATATATATATCATGTGTATATATATATATCATATGTATATATATATATATTATATGTATATATATATATATTATGTATATATGTATATATATTATAAATCATCAATCATGATCAATGTCCATTAATATCCCATGAAATGCCCATGTTTCATGGTCAAATCCCCATGAATTCCACCGGTCGCCAGACGTGCTGTCCTCCAAGTTGGCCTTCATCGCTTGGAACCAGGGAAGTTCGCCATGGCTCTCCTGACGAAAAATCCCAGAGTTCATGGGAAAGATCCCTCTGACAAATTTAACAATGGAGAACTCAAGAAACCATAGCGAAACGAGGGTTGTGCTGGGAATTCTAAGCTTCACCAAGATGTCAATTGAAAAAGAACGGAAAAATCAACACATCTCCAGATTTCATGGCAACTTCACCAGTGTTCACCATGGATTTCCCGCATGTTCCTTTACATCAACGAATCTGAGGCACCTCGGAGGTCTGTCGGGGCTTGGAGACCTCAAGGCTGATGGAAGTCTTTCCATGAAGGGGGGGATCCCCAATAGCTGGTTGGCTTATTTCATGGAAAATCATGGAAAATCCTATTAAAATGGATGATCTAGGGCTACCTTCATTTCTGGACACCTCCATATGTCTTGATGATGTTGATAAGACTTACTAGTTGTCCTGATAGTTATCATCATCAAAACTTGGCAACGATCAACAGTTCTGAACAATGGACCAATCTCACTATCAATGGTGATCAAATTAAAATATCATATATCTAGCAGTGAGATTGTTTAAATGTCAATAAATGGTCAATATAATGGTTCATAAAAGTTGTTTATCTATAGTTGGCTTTCATCAAATGTTATCTGTTGGACAGTAACCAATATATAACAAGGGATGACCATTGACAGCAGTCATCAATTAGCAACAAATCATCAATAATGAAGGATGATAACGGGTATAACAACTATTATATGAGGATATAACAACTGATGTTTACAGCTAGTTAAGTAGAGTGGTGAATCAATCTATACTATAACAACTGGTAAATGATGATTGCTGATGACAATTGCTGATGGGTTACAACAATACTCACAATTAGAAATTACTCGAATTGGAAAATATCTCTTAATAATACCTGTTGGCAACTGCTGATGGCCATTGTTAATTACCAAGTGTTCGTACATATATAATTATATTATATATATATGTAGATATACCATCTATCATATTGTTTAACTGCTGATAATTCCCAAGTGTTGATGATGTTGACTGGACAATTATCCAACAATGATAGTTGGACTGGCTGGTGTAATTTTTCGATGGCTCACCAAGACTTGTACTGGTGGCTGAGCCGCAGATCAACTAGGCCGACTAGGCCTTGAGTCTCCGGCAGGTGGAGCAACTGGAGGACCAGCCAGTTCCATGCCTGCCAGGTGCGGCGGATCCCATCATTTGTTTGGGCTCCTTGTGAGGTACCCTGCATCCACCTGCCGGTTTGACCATGGCATACCATGGCTTTGCGTGTCCTGGTACACCATTTCTGATCCATATCGAATTACTCTGACTGTCCCTGCCTTTGGTCCTGGACAGGAGATCATTCCCACTAGCCACTGGAGCGCGGGATGAGCAAGCACGTAGTCTTGGCGGCTGCCCGCAGAGACTCCAAGGACTATACCCTCTGTTGGTTGTAGTTGAGGATGTCCCAGGCAGCAATGTTAAATTGCCACGGCCATAACATCTACTCCAGGTTTGATCTGTGTTACATGGGGCTATCACCACAATGAGACATTGACATGGACCCCAAAATGGTAATAGCCATGGTGATATAAAGCCATAGCCGCCCATAGACCATGGCCGGGATCACGCACCAAATCTCTACCCAGATCTGCTTTCGAAGCCTTGGAATATATGGGTATGTCTGAAAATAGGGTATATTCCCAATTATAGCCATTTAATAGGGATAATGATCATTAACCATTGGGTTTAGGGGTACACAATTTTCAGACAAACCCATATTATTATTGAATCAGTTGAGATCATCATCTTGCTTCCATCTTTGGCGCGGGTATAATCCCTCCCCCTATTACTAAACCTCCCCCAAATAATAAAAACTAGGGTCCATCTCTAATTTTGGAAAATGTCAGGTTGGCCAATTTGACTTTTAATTGATCCCCTTTAGAAACCAATTTAAACATAAAGCTACCATTTGTGGGTTTCACCCCCTAATAGTAAAAACTAGTTAACCTCGGGGTGTTTATTAATAGGGTCCGCTTCGAAATCCAATTTTTGGCAATATAATTATATTTTAATTGCGTTACAAAGAAAATTGAACTGATTTTGAAATCGAAAAAAATAGTTATTTTAATTAAGGTTTTAAATGTATTAATAGGATCCGCTTCGAAATCCAATTTTTGGCAATATTTTAATTGCGATATAAAAGGAAAATTAATTGATTTTGAAATCGAAAAAAATAGTTTTTTATTTATTTATTGAGCGTTTTAATTTATTATTAGGGTTCCCTAACAATAAATACCACCCTAAGAATAAAAACTACCTGAGGTGTTTATTATTTGGGGGGGCGTTTAGTATTAGGAGGAAGGGATTACACATATACATCTCACCAATGAGGGACCTGTCCAATACCATGCCTGGGTTTCTCTGCAAATTGAAGAGAAACCACGATTCCATCCGGTGCATCATCATTTTCCCAGAATTATTTCATGACCCCAAATGATTTAAAATGCATCTAAATGCCAGAAATGGATGGCCCACTTCCCCGGATCTTTCCCCCCAAGATCGCCAAGCAACATGTCGGAGGTCGACTGTGCCACCTGCTGAAAGGCACTTCGATGCTGGTCAGAGAGAAGCTTCACGGCCTGGTGAGCTCATTGGATGTTTTTTGTAACTCCGCGATAGAAAAGTGATGAAAAGTGGACATGTGCCACTAATTTGATAATTTCAATAGGATTTCATACTCGATCAAAAGTACCAATATATGGGATTCTATGGGATGCTTCCCTAAAGATGAATGATAAATTTGTGGAATTTATGGTTTGTTGGCAAGATCTTACATGTTGACCGTCCGTAATTACCCAACAATAGCAATGGATGCGACCAATGGATTTCTCCACACCAATGGTTGGCTGAGTCGGCCTTTTGTATCATTTGTCTTGCCCATTTTTTGGGGGGGCTGTTGTTGTAGTCTTCCTGCTTCCCTTCGTGCATATCACTAGACTCCTTGCCGCCCAACACCTAAATCATACTGCGAACCCAGGTTTGCCTCGCTCAAGGATGAGATCTCCTACTCACCTAGAAGATACTGCCACAAAATGGAGGCGTTTGGTGGAATCTGTTGAACATTTTGATGTGGGCACTGTCACCCAAATTTGGGGTCGTTGTTTATCCACAAGATCGCCTCTGACTCAGCCCATGGCACCTTCATGATTTCACGGACCTTTGCTTCCACCTGGCATCATGCAAACAGCACCTACCATCTGGGCAAATAATCAGCAATTCGAAACATCTTTTTGTTCAGCATCTATTGGGATGATTCCCCTTATAAACTGAGACTTGCTAAGAATGCATGCTGGGCGATGTTTGACACTTGCTGAGACACAGAGGTTTCTATGTTTCATGCGCCATGAACATTTAATGGTGTTTAGTGAGGATTTAATGGTTTTTGTTGGGGTCTTAAGCTGAATTTCAAGTTGTACGCGTGCGCCTCGTGTTTCACTTCTTTCACTTCGTCGGTTTTGTCAGACGAACCGATCTGGGCTTTTAGAATCTGTAGTTCCAAATGTGCCTCGCAGCAGTGCTACAAATTATGACGCAAAGGCCGCTCTCAAAAATGAACACTTTGAAGTCACAAAATTGGTTGATTCCCCATAGGCTACAGTTGTTGTTTTTCTTATCTGGACATCCATACTGTTAGGTTTAAACATAATCTGTGTTGGACAAACACAAAAAGTAGAGATTTCTCACATCTAAAATCCGTTGGTTTCCTGCGAGATTCGGAGGCCTTAAAACATCTTTGCACTTGGTCGTCGATTGCACCTTTTTTGAAACATCGACTGATCTCACTTTTACATACTTTTACTTGTTACTGTAAATCTCCGTGTGAGTTGGCCAACATGACAATTATTGTTCATCAAAGACCAACTGTTTGTTGGTGAACATTCCACATTCCTGGTGTTAAAACCTGGTGAAGCTCTGCATTTGTTTTCCTCCCAATAAAGGTTTAATTTTCTGTCACTTCGCTGGATTTCGCTGCTTCGAAGCCCCAACTCTTGGAGTAGTTGTCCCAAATGTGGCAAGTTCCAACTACAAATAGGAATCCCGGTCACAATAGATAGATAAGAAAAGGCAAGAAAAAAAATAAGATTGAACAAAGACAAGATAAGATTAGGCAAGATTGGCCAGAATTATAAAGGATTGATTAGATAGGATTCGATAGAAACGATTAGATGGACAGGATTAGATAGAATTAGATAGATAGGTTTAGATAGATAGGGTTATATATAGAAAATTATAGAAAGATATAGATAGATATAGGTAGATATCGATAGATATTAATTAATAGACATTGATTGATATTTTGACACTGGTGTATTTTGATTGATATTGATTGGTATTGATTGATATTGTTTGATATTGTTTGGTATTGGTTGATTTTGATTGATATTGATTGACACTGATTGATATTGATTGATTTTGATTGATATTGATTGATATTGTTTGTTATTTGGTTGGTATTGGTTAATATGGCTTGATATTGTTTGATATTGACTGATTTGGTATTGATTGATATTGTGTGTTATTTGATTGGTATTGATTGATATTCCTTGATATTGTTTGATATTGATTGATGTTAATTGATATTGACTGACGTTGATTGATATTGATTGATATTGATTGATATTGATTGACATTCATTGGTATTGATTGATAGTGGCATTTTGATTGATTGATTGACTAATTCATTGGTTGATTAATAGGATTTGGTAGGATTATGATTTGGATTAAATAAAATTAGATAGAGGCAGAGATGGAGATAGAGATGGACATAGATACAGATAGATGCAGATAGATTGAGATGCAAAGAGATAGATAGAGATAGATAGACATAGATAGAGATAGATACAAATAGATAGACAGACAAATAGATAGAAAAATAGACAAACAATCAGATTGATAGATGATTGATTGATTGATTGATTGATTGATTGATCGGTTGCTTGATTGCTTGACTGCTTGACTGCTTGATTGCTTAATTGCGTGGTTGCTTGCTTGATTGATTGAATGATTGAATGATTGATAGAGATAGAAATAGAGATATTATGGATGAATGGATAAATGGATGAATGGATGGATAGATTGATGCATGGATAGGTTGATAGATAGATACACAGACAGACAGACAGACAGACAGATAGACAGACAAACAGACAGACAGGCAGGCAGACAGCCAGCCAGGCAGACAGGCAGGTAGCTAGCCAGGCAGGCAGGCAGACAGGCAGCCAGCTAGCCAGGCAGCCAGCTAGCCAGGCAGACAGACAGAGAGACAGGCAGGCAGCCAGGCAGACAGACAGGCAGCCAGCTAGCCAGGCAGACAGACAGGCAGCCAGCCAGCCAGCCAGGTATATAGATTAATTATACATAATCATACTGATGTTACACTATCATCATGATCATGATCATGATCATGATCATGATCATCATCATCACCACCACCACCACCATCGTCATCATCATCACCATTTTCCCACGGTTGTCCCATGTGTTCAAATTATTTTCGCAGCACTGAGCCACGCCCTCGCGGCGTTGCTGTTCCAAGAGCTCCCGCAGCTGCCGGGTTTGCTCGTTGGTCTCGGCGCGCTGTTGCTCAAGCTCCTAGTGGGACTCAGGGGGAGGGCCATGAAGGCCATGGAATTTTGAGGATATGATAGGTTTGTCAAGGGCTGAATGACAGAAATGGATGTGAATCAACGGAAATATATGGGAACTAGCCAAGTAACTGTGATTTCAGCTACACACATATATGCAAAATTCACCACAAGGGGGATTTAACTAATCATGTTGTTGAGGTCTGTGTTTAGGGCAAATTAACCACCAACAACCACAACTATTTTTTTGGGCCTATCTCAATGATGTATTCTTTCGGTATGCTTTTCGGATATCCTAAAGATATCTGATAGGGATTTTACCAAGATATCCCAAGGAAAGCGTAAGGATTAGGGATGCTATCATGAGGATTCAACCCAATAATGCTAACCATCGACAACCAGAAATACCATGGCTGAGTCATCTTTGAGGAGGTGAGAGAGTGGGGATCTCCTCGGAACTGTTTAAAATATAATATATATATATTATATGTTTATGACATATAATATGATATATATATATATATATCTAATGTAATATATATCTAATGTATCTATAGAATATACATAATAAAATAATCTTTAGCATACACATAATATAAATACATATCACTATGATATAATATATATATATAATAGAATACAATATAATAAAATCTAATACATCTAATATATATATATACATAATAATATGTATTTAAAAGAAAAACTATACAAGATAATATAAGATTATATGATATATATATATAAGATTATATATAAATTGAAAAATACTATATATATATAATAATGTATATAATGAAATATAAAAAATATATTTATTTATAATAAATCATTCAATAATTATATATTATAAATATGATATTGAAAAAAATAATAATATAAATTATATTGGAAATAATAGAATATATATATATATTTATTATTGTAAATAATAAAAAATAATACAACACATATAATAGTATCTGAGTATGATATACCATAAATAACATAATATATAAAACTTTATATATAATATAATATAATATAATACGTATATAATATAATATAATATAATATAATGAACTATAATATAATAAATTTTAATATAATATATATATAATAATATAATATATATAATATATTATTTATATATATATACAATATAATATAATATATAGTATATATAATATATATATAATGTTATATATTTGTTGTAATACAGATAAAATATAATATATAATATATAAAAAATAAAAATAAAACTAAAAATATATATATAATATAATATGTATATATACAAAATAAAATATAATATATCTAGTAAAGATTATAATATATATAATATAATAAATCAATATATATAATATAATGTATAATTTGTAATAGTTAAAATACAATATATTATATATAATATATATAATAAATAATATATATTATATAATAAAATATGTTTTTTAATATATAATTTATAATATATAACATATAATGTATAATATATATAATATATAATATATAATATATTTAATTTATAATATATTTAATATTATATATATGTATAAATATATATTGGTATATGATATAATATATATATAATGATATAATATTATATGTATAATAATATCGTTATATAATAATGATATATATATAGATAATATAATATTATAATATAATATTATAATATAATATAATATAATATGATATAATATAATACTGTATGTATAATGTACAGTATATATGTATGTATATATATATTGTTTTTTTTTTTAATAGAGGTATATGTAGACATGGTAATTCAATCGACAAAAGGAAGGATTCATCAAGAATATCAAGAATATGGGATTGCATTGACTACGCGAGGGAGGAAATACAGATGTGAGAAAGGACATGGTGGTGATGTAATCGCGAAGTGATACTAGTCTCACAACAAGGATTTGACCAATTGAATCAATTAGATTCAATAAATAGATAGAGTTGATCGAGGGACACTGCCAACAAAGCTGTCGACCACTCGACCACTGGTAAGAAATTTTGGTCTCTGGCAGCATTTCTGGCGCTCCTTGTGCAAGCATTTCACGTCTGCCTCAAGCGCAGCATGTGCCTGCTGTGCGGCTTGAACATCAAACAGCCTGAGATGAAGGGAGAACTGCTGGGCTCAATCTGAAGGACCCCATCCCCATCCCTTCAGGAACGTTCTTGAGATAATTCACCAAGAGCTAGAGACGTGAATGGAATTAACTCCTGATTTAATTCCTTCAATTAATCTAGATGCCCCCCGTAAAAAGGGTTTGCCAAGCAGTCCTGCCCGAGCAAAAAAACAAAAGCATTTTTTTCTTCCACTGTATAAATGTCTCATTCACCCCGAAACATACTCGTATATTCTTGTGTAAAAATGATTGGAAATGTGGGGGCATTAATTTATGAAAATGCCCCGAAGTGGAATCATGATCGAAGGCAGTTAGGAGTCAAACTTCCGACTTATGGACAGATGCAGCAACAGCGGTGGGAAATGTGGGAAGAGTCAGAGAAGAGATGAGAAGAGAAATCAAGAAGAAAGAAGATTAACGTGCCCGAAAAGGTAGAAAAGTCGCGAAACATGGTGTTTTTCAAGTATGGGCCCCGGCACTTCATGTGCGCGCCATTTAGCGTAGAATATCGTAGAACTAACTCGGGGTTGAAAGCAACTCGGCTGAGGATCCACAGACTTCAACACATTGGCCACGATCGGCAGAGGCAAAGAATAAGATGGCGAATTAATTCACAAACCAGGAGGCCAAACATAGAATAAAACCAAGAGTCTATTCAAAAACACCCAGTTCAGATCCAACAGAATTAAAACAGGATTTCAAGTGAAACAGAAGCACTAGATTTAGGCAGTAGCATTCAGAATTAAATCCTGTTTTAATTCTTCTGAACTCCTGTGTTTACACCTTTTCGCGAAGGCAACGCACATAGACAAACTGTGCGCTTCAGCGGCTCAATTTCACAAAGGATGGCCGATAGTCATTGAACAAAGACGAACTTGGATGTCACCCGCAACTATTGAATCATTGTATACTCCAACACACATCAAGTATCAGTGACCATCACCAATTATAAGCTGATACGGCCAACAATAACAGCAGGACTCTGCTGTTCAAGAGGCAATTTTCTGCGTTCATCCTCCAACCAGAGGGTGTCATCATGCAGCCTTGTTTCATCAGTGCCACCTGGTTGAGCTGCCAATGGTCGATCCGGAATGTTTCCATTTTTGGCAATGGAAAATATGGAAAACGATCATCCACCAATCAGTTGCGAGTCCTGATCCCAGAATTAGCCGTTAGCCGTTCTTCTTCGTGAAATGCTTTACTGAACTGTTGGCAGTTGCTTCTAGCCATTTCTACCCCCTGAAATTACACCATCTTTCGTTAGATCTCAGCCCAGGGGTTCATGCCTGGTCTGCTCAGGTCTGGTCGGTGACGAACCACATTCCCTTCACGTTGCCCAACCTCGGCATGGAGAAAAACCTCGGCAGTGCGTTGATGAACTTGACCCACCGATGACCCCTGCACAAAAATGTCTAGGTACTGTACATGGAATGAGCTTATTGTCCAAAGAAAATGTGAAGCCACGCGCAGTGGGACTGAACTACTTCGCATCTTGTCACTGCACATTATAATTACTCAATTTGTATACGGACATCAATCGTCAAACCATGTTCCTCTCAAGGATGTTCGGTACTCATCAAGTGATGTCCTTGTATCTTTTGCAGTGATGTTACAGTGAGGAGTTGCAAATCTTGGTACAGGAAAGGCCTAATCATCGTTGTCTTCACTTCAGCCTTTTCCTTTTCCTGGTTATGTGTGCACCTTTGGAGCCTTCTCCTTAAATGCAAACATGGGACTGATTGAGTCTGACTTGTTGATGATCTCGATGGTCTTGGCTGCATGCCATCACCAGCTGCGAGCCTTCCAATCCAAGTGGTTGCTCATAGCCGAGACATCATGGTTTCAAGTGTTGCTGATTCGGGAAACCAAATCCGATCCGACATCATGTCCATGAAAGTCCACGCTCCCTCTCTGGTACTATTTTTGTTACATACGTAATTTTGTTGTGTTAGTAAGTGTGTATTCAATGTTATATGATGTTATATACATCATTTCTGTATGCATACATGGAGAGAGACAGAGAGTGACAGAGAGTCTATTTGACTCTATCTAATTCCATTTACAGTTGTATGTAAATTTTACATATAAAATCAGCCATGTGCGTTTCCTAAGTCCTGGAGGATCCGCCATAGCTTTCAACGTCGCTCTCCCGGCCTGGACTAAACAGCGGCGATTGATCTGCCGGATCCATGGGCAAATCGCTTCTGGAAATCCGTTGGAACCATGGTTGACAGACATGAAAAATCATGAAAATTAACAGAAACATTGAACAGTTGAACAGTTGAACATATTCTTAGGATTTTTGTTCATTTGGAAAATGTGGTCGAATCACATCGAATCACTATGCTTTGTGCTGATCTAATCACACAACAAATGAACAGATGTAAATTGGGCATGGGTCAGAAACTGCGGAACATCAATGCTTGGGGATGACTTTTGGTCAACATATATCAAACATATCATAACTCCATGGAATTTGAGTTTGATTTGTTCTCCTGATGTTTGGTCTGGAAAACCTAAAAATCATCTACTTTCTGGCCAAACCCTTGGCAAAAATCCCAGGAAAACTTGAGCCTGTGGGAAGGTGACAGCCAAGAATCTGCAACGTGAAATTCCATTGCTGGCTTTCATAGGCTACATATAACCTCACAATATATATATATATATTATATATATTATATATATTATATTATATATTATATATTATATATATATATTATATACAAAAATTATATTATATATATATTATATATATTATATATATATTATATATATATTATATATATATATTATATATATATACAAAATTTATATTATATATATTATATATATATTACCTGAACAAATCATCAACCAACCTTCATTTGTCAATCCTCCATATTTTGCTGGTTAAAACTCCTTATACATCATAAATCATTGTTAAAACACATTTAAAATCCAATTGGCTAAGCTAACCACCACAAAATGTCTCGATAAAATGAAAACAATCATCAACCAACTAATTAGGCTTTCTGGAAACTCCTCCAGTGAGACCCTCCGGTCAGCGCACCCCCCCGTCAGCCCCGAGCGATAGCGGAGCAGCTGCATGGGTTCTGCAAAAGCTGCCACCTTGGCCAGGCGCACCCATTCCAAAGCGTCATCTATGATTATCCCAAGAAATCATCATCAAATTGCCATAAATACCCCTGTTTTATCCTGTTTTGCCATATTTTGGTTTATCACTCATCATTTCCCTCCTAAACCGACCATTTTGGGGGGTATCCCGCATCTTCAGACACCCATTTATCATAATTATTGGTCATTTATCACCATTAAATCACAATATCCCCAGAAAATATCCCATAAATATCCCCATCACAATATCCACATTTATATTCCATAAATATCCCACAGAATCCCAGAATCATCCCATAGATCTCCTCTGAGTGACCGCAGACAAAGTCGCACCCGATATCCCACGCATGGCCGCAGCATTTCGGCTGTGACTGGGTGATCCTGGTGGCGTTGGTTTCTACACTGGGCCCCGTTGTTCAACTGATCTCATGATCAACTGATCAACACCATGTTAGTTTTAAAACCGACAGTTAATGATGAACTAAAACAAAAAAAAACATCATGACGGCCAAAAATCAACCAAGAAAAAAGAAGATTTGAATGACTTAAGCGATTTAACCCAACACAAATCGGGATTTAACAAGCCAACATATTGAGAAAAGTTGGGATTCAAGCCCAATTGGTATACGTGGGTAGTAACCATGGCAGAACACAGATATATGGATAAACCACTTCCCAACTGGGATGCACATCCAAAGAAACAACAAAAATGATCAAAGATGGAGGGATTATCACCGAAAATGGGGAGATTGTCAGCAAAAGTGAATAATATAACTGACAAACAATAACAGGAATGATATTTAACCAAGAACACCGGGAGATAGTACCAGGCAAAAAGGGAAATAATTAGCAAAGACAAGCGTGACATCAACAAAGAACTGTCAACCTACGGATTCTGTGCATTCTCTCAACTTGCGTCTCAACAGTTGGGGCCCCACAGTCAGCAGGTTGATTCTGCTCTAAAGAATCAATCCCCTAAGTGATGACTGAGCTATCCAAATATGTCTGAAGTAGGCATAGATAATATATCATCTATCCAAGCAAGCCTATATACTATGTCCGGAAATTCTATATATCGCAACATCCGAAACTACATCCCAATACACCTGGATCCATGGGGGCGTCTACAAGTATTACTTCAGTTTGCACAAAAAATAAATATACCCCAAATCGGCACCCCAATGAACATTGCGTAAAATCCCAGTAGAAAATTACCAAGTTAAATAATGGATGGTCAACAGGGATTCTAGGACATAGATTATGATTATTCCAAAAAAAAAAAAAACATAAACCAACAAACACATGCAATATTGTTGGTTCGATAAGCCATTTCACCTCTATAATATCTGTTGTACATGTCTACATAAAGCCAATCACAAATTCTGGATGATCCCCCCCAGATTTTGATGATTCAAAGCCCTGGTAAAAGCTTGTTAAACCACCATTCAACCAGGTTTTTGAAACTTCTCAAGTATACCCACAGATTTACCCAGGGGCTGATTCATCCCGCGTGTTTATCCATATTCTCAATAAAAAAAAAACTATGAAATGGTTGGTTAATATGTCTGATAATCAAAGATGGACTGGAAAGTCCTATATCGATGGGGAATCATCAGCTCGGAAAATCATCATTAGCTCGGGGACTTTCCAGCGATGCTTCTCTTGATTGTGTCAGGGCGAAAATCCAACCATAATCATCCATATATATCACTGAAACCTCCAGTCTTGATGGTGAAATCCTCAGTTTTGATGCTTAAATCATGTTGAAGCATTCAAAAACTCCCCAGTTTTCATGGTTTTCCTATGGTTACATTCCATCCCCCAGTTTTGTTGACGATTCCGTGCCCGGTCCCCGTTGGTTCCCTCGGAGGTCGTCCTGGGTCTCCCGGGGCCGGCCGATCCGCGAGCCGCTCCACAGCCGCACGCATGCGATCCACGGGAACATCCTGGCGTGAGAAGCAGCGATGCCTGGGGGTGTAGAGCAAAACAATGATGGAAGAAAAACTTAATAATGATGATAATGATGATACACTATACATAATGATATGCTAATATATATATATACAGTATATATATATACACACTATACAGTATAGTATATATATATATACACAGTGTATGTATATATATATAGTGTATATAGGGTCTTGTCTATATTCCTTTTCCCGGATTCGGACGAAAATCACATTCATTGCGTATTTACAGGACTCCGCCTTTAAAGTTCAATTGTCCCAACAGACCTCAAACATGAGTGAAGAAAGTTATGAATGATTGATTCGCATCAAACTCTTGCAAACGAAGCTAGTGCGCGGCTTTTTTAGCTCGAGCTGCTGGAGCTACTGGAAACACTAATTATCACACCCTGCATGGATCCTTTGTTTGGTCTAACAACGCAGACTCCAGGGCCCACATCCCAGTTGCTGCTACCAGCTGGAAGCAAACTGTACGGTGAGTTGACCAACGGGCAACTGCGTATTTTTGGGGCAATTATCTAGCGCGGATCTACCGCCAGAACTACGTTTAGCCTAGCCATTAAAACTTGAAAAGCAATTGTTTTCACGTATCTTTACAAGTCACGTTTGTCATGCTGGCCAAAAAGAAGGTGAAGCGGTAATGCTGCTCAAAGAGATTTGTGAAAAGTAAGGCTACTGAGGTGTTGCCCAAGCAGGACCGGAAGAAACAGGTGCAAGAATCTGAGAGGGAAAGAAAGCATCGGGCCTGACTATGTTTCGCTTGAGTGGCTATGCAAAAGTATCTAGCGCCACACAAACGCAAATCTAGCACCAACTTGCAGGAAAGCGAATCACTGCATGTATATTTAGGACTCCGCCTTGTAGTGAAATCTTTAGTGAAATCTAAAACTCATCACTGCCCAAATATTTACGGCCCTCGGATTTAAAAGTTCCTTATAGGCATTTTAGAGCGGATCCCGTACATATATATATATATCATGATGTACTATATATCATGCTATAGTTGGAAGTTGGAAGGGCCAGCGATTTATAGACCATTTGCTGGTTGAATCCAAATCATAATTAAGTTGACATATTGGAACATGAGACCATAGATTATCATTGACTAGCTGATTGTCATAAGGAAGTGGAATGAATTGATAGTATCTGGGTAAATTATGGTAAATTATAATATTTCACAAACCTGAATTAAGGCCATTTGGGGATGATTTCCCTTATAAACCATGATTCCAGTGAGGTCGCAGTGAGGTCGTTATAATTTACCCAGATAGTATTGATATCGATATGGGACACATATATAGTGCCTGGCTGAAAAAAACAACGAGTCACTACAATGCCATGTTCTGAATGTTACTGGGTCGGGGAAGTAGGTTTGGGATGATGGATAAGTCTGGGATGATCATGTTTGATCATCTGCTTTTTTTCTAGGTGAAATACATGTTGTTTCAAAACGCAAATCAAGTAAAACATAATTATATAAACGATATTGAAAGAAGTGGTTAACATGGTGGATAGACCATAGATGATAAACGTGTCGAATGGTGTGGAAAATAGCATGAAATATGGGCATTAACGTGGATTGACTTGATTGAGTAGAAAAACATAGAATGAATATGTATGAACAAAGCAGGGATGAAACATGACCATGACTATGATTATCCCGGGATGTTGAGTGGTATCAGTATCCGTTATTTGAAACTGAGTCCATTTTTCCCGACATATCCCTGCTCTGCTTAAGAATAATATGGAATATCATGGGATATCCTATGGGATGGGACATCGCTTAGAGATGCCTAAAGAGTCCACGCATAGTCCTGCTTCACATCGAGGTTGTAGTTTCCAAACGCCGTGACGGATAGAACCTTGCCCCGCAAGGGACACCAGCTGGGTGAGCTGGATCCCAAGACATGATGAATCTCTCCTCACCAATGATATGAACGGGGGCCCCATCAACCATTCTACATTATAGTTGCAAGTAATAGATCAATAATGATCAATATATGAATGATCAATATATGATCAGTATATATAATGATCAATGATAGAAACGCTGTTCCGATGTTTTGTCACTCCTATTTCAAGAGCTTTTTCCTTTTTGCTCAGACATCCAAGCGCATCCCCAT